CTTTTCCCCACGTGCCCCAGCCACACATTTCCCTCCTCAGAGACATCTGCTTTTGCCGTGCTGTGGATCCTTCCAGAGAACTATTTATACCTCAACGTGTATGTATCACAATTTATTGACTAATCTGTCCCACTGATTTGAAATGTCACTTTTATGGTATAACAGATTCTTATACGTATTTATATTACTCTTTTCAGAGCTGTCCTGACTGTTTTTTGCCTATCTTTTATGTTTTCCATTTCTCTAAAATCCTTTTTATCTTGAAAAAACTTTTTCCTTTTCCTGTTTTTTCTCTTAAGACATTATGTTCATTCACTTGTATAATTTTATTTAAATTATTTACTTTTGGCGGTGTCGGGTATTAGTTGCAGCACGTGGGCTCTTCGTTGCAGTGCGTGGGCTCTTCCTCGTGGCTCGTGGGCTCTCTAGTTGTGATGCGTGGGCTCCACAGCACGTGGGCTCAGTAGTTTCGGCGGGTGGGCTTAGTTGGCCTGAGGCATGGGGGATCTCAGTTCCTCAACCAGGGATCGAACATGCATACCCAGCATTGGAAGGCAGATTTTTTTTTTTTTTTTTTGCGTTACGCGGGCCTCTCACTGTTGTGGCCTCTCCCATTGCGGAGCAACAGGCTCCGGACGCACAGGTTCAGCAGACATGGCTCACGGGTACAGCCGCTCCGCGGCATGTGGGATCTTCCCAGACCGGGGCACGAACCCATGTCCCCTGCATCAGCAGGCGGACTCTCAACCACTGTGCCACCAGGGAAGCCTTGGAAGGCATATTCTTAACCACTGGACAACCAGGGAAGTCCTCACTCTTGTATTATTTTAAATTTAGTCCTCATTTCTGAATTTTTTTTCTTTTATTTTGAATTCTGTCCTGAGTTCTATCATCTTACCTAATTCTGGTTTATGCTGTTAGTTCATCTTTTTTTTATTATGGTAAAATATACATAAAACAAAATTTAGTATTTCAACCATTTTCAAGTATATAATTCAGTGACATTATATACATTCACAATGCTGTGCGAACATCACCACTATCCAAATTAAAAATAATTATGTCTAAAGATTGAGCAGGACCTCAGAAAGATGGAGGCAGCAGCATAGTTTCTGAATCTCTCCAAACCCTTTCATGGAAGATCAACTAAAACCAAACACCCATAGGTGGTAGTTATCAGCATTTACCATTTGCAGGACTGTTTCACCATCCCAAACAGAAACTCTAGAGCCATTAAACAGTAACTTCCCATTCCCTCCTCGATCCATGTTCTTTCATCTTTTCCATTGTTTTTCCTAACATCTTTTAGCCCACTTTGAAATAATAGGTTACAGTTTTGATCTGTTTTGTGGACCTGTCTTTACCAACTTGATTTTATTGTCTGAAGAGATGCTATTCTGCTCCTCATTCTCTTTTTTCTTACACTACCTCTGTAAGGGATTTGATCCTAATCCTTTTATTGATTTTTGGATGAAAAAAGTTTTAAAGCACTTTGAAAAGGAGGTGTAAGGCCATGTGGAAACGTGTTCCTCATGGCTGTTTCATCAATGCTTCACTTATACTGTTTTGAAATAACTCTTTTCCAGGAGGCATAAACCAGTGGGCTTTATCATTGGACAGAGTGCAGGGAAACGACCCCACAAAAGCTGATCACCTTAGCAAAAATGATTTAGTTATGATTTCACCCAAGATTGGTCACAACCAGCCTGGGAAACTCAATGAACCAGAGACAAGGTATAATGTCATCTTTCCTTCTCTCTGCCTCAGCTCTCAAGGATTGGTCACCTACATGTTATTCGTAATTATTAGTTGGTTTCTGTTCATAATTACTATCAGAAGACACAGCACTTATGGGCCTAATTACACTGCCCAGCTACGCACCATTCTTCTTCATTTTGGCTTCCTGTCCACCAGCAGGAACCTGATTTATTTTGTTCTCCCCTCACCACAGCCCAGTAATTTTTGTGAATGACTCTCAGTCTCACCAGAATCTGTATCTCTCACTCTGCCCCAACATCCCACCCCATCATTCGCTCCCTGAAGTGTACTCTAGAAATTTAGGTAAACTGGATATTTTAACACTATTCACCATCTCTTATGAAACCAGAAGAAGAGCAGCTCTCTTATGAAACGACGGAGAACTTGTAAGGATAAAACACCAGTCTGCAGGAGAAAGGGAAGAAGAGAATGATGGAAATAGTTTCCGGAAAACTATTTTTACATTGTGTTTTGTTTGTTCCTGGTAAATAAATTGAAATCTTCTAAACATTAAAAGAAAATCTAAACCACTAAATTCAATAATACAGGAACATAACTTTTAAAAAAAATTTCTTTGGCTGCGCAGCATGTGGGATCTCAGCTCCCCAACTAGGGATTGAACCCACGCCTGCTGCATTGGAAATGCAGAGTCTTAACCACTGGACCACGAGGGAAGTCCTAGGAATATAACTTTTAGAGGAGAAGTTATAAACCCCTTGGTTATATGAACTGGAGATTTTTGTAAGAAGTCATATATTTTAAATGACTTGGAGCTTTAAAGAAAGGAAGGAAGGAAGGAAGGAAGGAAGGAAGAAAAAGGGACTTCCTTGGTGGTGCAGTGGATATAATATCAAAAATAAAGTAATTAATTAAATAAATTTAAAAGAAAAAAATCTCTGAAATCCACTCTCTAATTATTCAGGCTGTTATATCTCGCTATTTCCAGATACAACCCTTTCAAAACTTTTGGTAAAAGGTTATCTTATGTCAGAGCAAATGAATTACAAACTTTTCTCTTTGTCCAAAATTTGAGAAATTCCCCTACACTTCTACCTTCAAATTTTATAAAAACGGAAAAGTAGTGACAACCCTTATACTTACATCCAATTGCATCATCTGGCCACATGCCTTCTACAGCAATCAAATATCTACAAAACAACAAAACGCGAATCATTTGTAAATGAAAAGAAAATCAAGGTTTTGCAAAAAAGGTCCAATTTCGCTTTACAAATATAGATATAAAAATCCTAAGAGAATATCAGCACATCTAATCAATAATTATTAAAGAATGATATACACCAGGACCACAAAAAGGCGTTATTTCAAGGATGCAAGGGTAACAAAACTTTAGAAAATCTATTAATATAATTATTTACATTAATACAACAACTTAATTAATAAAAGAAAGAGAATAAAATACAGGACCAAACTGGCAGATGTTAAAAAGTTATCTGATAACATGCAACAGTCAGTCTGGGTGAAAATGCTCTGTACGCTAAAAACAGGAGACTTAATATGACAGAGTATTCATCAAGAACCAACAAATAACTAAAGACAAATCAGGACAAATATTAACATCATATCTAAAAAACCCTATCTAACCAACCATAGGAGCCAGAGACTTAGGAATCACCATCACTGACAGCTATTTCTCCCTCGCCCTCATCCTCAACCCACCACCAGTGCTAACAAGGATACTGCCTACATACTTCTAGAATCTGTCCACATCTTTCCACCAAAATGACCACCATACCCTGGTCCAAGCCACCATTATGCCCAATTTCTACAAAAGTCTCCTAACTTGTTTCCTCACTTCCACTCTTTCTCCCTGCAGTCTATTCTCCACTCGGTAGCAAAAGCGATAGGTTGAAAATGCAATTGGGTATGTTGCACACACTCACCTTCAACAGAAAAAGTTCAATGGTTTTCTATTAAAGTCTGAAACCTTAAACATAAGCCTGCACAATCGAGCTCCTGCCCACACTTGTAGCTCCATTATAACCACATGCTCCCCCAACAGCCCCACCTTCCTGGCCAGTTCCTCCAACACACCATATGCTTTCCTCTTATAGGGTCTTTTGCTATTCCTTATGCTCAGAAATCTCTCTACAGTGTCCCTATCTGCTTAATACCTACTCATCCTTCAGATATCAGCTGAAACATCCCTAAATAAACCTTCTCTAATCTCCAATCCTCCCTAAAATATGCTCTCATGGAACCATGTTCCTCTCCTTGGCACTTGTCAGAGATATAATTCTACATGCAGTGTATGATTCTTGAATATCTATTCCCTCTCTGGACTGTTAGAATTCACAAAGGGCAGGTCAAGTCTCTTTACTCACAAAATGTCACGTCTTTTTGCTAGCACCCAGCACAGTGCTTAAACATAACACATGCTCAATAAGTATTTCCTGCATGAACAACCATAAATTGGTACAGTGTAGCAACATCCATAAAAAGCATAAGTGCATCAACTCTTTGATGCAGAAGTCCCATTCTGAGTGAAGTTAACTGAGACAAAGCATATATATTCAAAGGTGTTCACACAGCAAGGTTCATTACTTTGACGTTTTATAATATCAAAAACTTCGGACTTTTATATGTTCATCAGTGAGCAAAGGAACAATGCAACCTTAAAAAAATAAACAAATGGGACCTAATGAAACTTAAAAGCTTTTGCACAGCAAATGAAAGAAAACCCTCAGAATGGGAGAAAATATTTGCAAACGAATCAACAGACAAAGGATAATAAAATATATAAATCTCCAAAATATATAAATAAGTCATGCAGCTCATTATTAAAAAAACAAACAACCCAATCAAAAAATGAGCAGAAGACCTAAACAGACATTTCTCCAAAGAAGACATACAGATGGACACAGGGCACATGAAAAACTGTTCAATATCACTAATCATCACTCAACATCCTGCTGCACTTGATTCTATTATCATAATTAACCCACTTAGAGTCACTACATTTTTGTCTTCCTAGATAACTGTAAGTTGCTACTGAACAAAGACTTCTACTCACCTCTGTATCCCCGTGCCCTAACAACAAACCTATAAGGCTCTCGGTGTTTACTGAAACAATTTATTTTCTGAGTCTCTACCAATTCTAGGGAGTGCATAGTATAGTCTCCTCCTCATTATCAGTGAGCCTGGCACCTGTGGGAGGGCCTTACAGCAGAGGAAAGTCACCAATGGATCATAACTAAGGTCCTGAGACTGCAATGGCAGACAGCATGGCGAAGTTGGCCCACTGCATGCAGAAGACCCGCAGAGGAGTCAGCATATGCAATGGACTACACTTGGTATAACATGTGAACAATCAAGGTTTACAAACGTGTTCTCATGCACTTGTAAGGATCTTCTAGCCCACGTGGAACAGACAGAACACACACAAAGGAGCCTGGAGGAAGTGAGTAGGCCAGCAGCTGCGCCCTAACATCTTAAGAGGTAACATTTCTGTGACTACAGTTTACACAAATCAGATAATTTGCCTCCTTTCTAGACACCCTGGTTATCACAGGCAAGGCCAAGTCTCTCAAGTTTTAAAGCTAAATTACAGGGAAGATCTGTGAATAGGGCTGAAGATACTTAAGAGCTAGTACCTGCATTAAGCAAGCAGGTTATAGAATGAAAATTTATCTTGAAATTCCAGTCTCTCCCTCTCTCTCTCACCTCCTATCTCCTATCTTCCCACCTCCATCTCTATTCCTTCTCCCCTACTCCCTGTTTTATGTATATATGTGCATCCTTTTATATATACACGGAATATTTACCGTCTGTTAGATTTATTTAATAAAGTGCACACTCCTCAGGCTAAATTTAGAAAGAGGACAAAATGAACACTTTCTCATGAGGGTCAGTGGCGTTCCAAAGACAAAAGATTCCTCAGTCTTAAAACATGGCAAATACCATGTTCCTTCTGATAGTTAGATGCTAGAAAAAGGCAAGTGGATCCTTAAAATTCACACGCTATTAAGACCTACTATCAACAGAGTAGATCTTAAAGCAGAAACAAGAAAACACCAGCCTTTTAAGTTCTTCCTGTCTGAAGATAAGAATAAGAGGTGGTAGTGTTCTTCCTCACTTGCACCCGAAGTGTAAAAGCGGCAAAAATATCTTAAACACATATATGATGAGGAAGCCGCTCTTCTGGTCCACTCTGTTTTGTTTTGCTTCTAGGGATCTGTCTCACTGTGAACCTTTGCTTTTGGTTTTCTCTTTTATATACGCTAAGACCCTGAGAGTCTTAACCTCTTCTTCCACCTCTCAACCAATAAATAGGACAAAAGAACATTTTCATTTTTTATGTATTTTTCCATTCAAATTTTTAAAAAAGAGATAAGTAAGCTATTTCAGTTGATATTTCTCACAAAAATCACTTTCCAAATTAAATTGTCTGTGACCATAAACAGGAAAAACACCGTACTCTATTAGCACCATCTGACATTTCCACCTTAATGTTACCAAACACAACAGGCCTATTGTCAGAACTATCAAAAATGTTAAAAATCCCCAACCCAACTCAAAATGCATACCAAAGTTCACGTAAAGGAAAAAAAAACAAAAACAACTCACCGTTATCTTTATGTTCTTTCAGAAACCCTTTAACAGCACACTGGTATTTAAAACTAGTGTCGTCATCTGGCACCTGATGCCCAATTGTACAAATTTTTAAATAAGGAATAGTTTCTGGTAAGTCCTGTAAGGCAAAACCATGAAAATATGTATAATAATATATATTTCCCTTTGTAGGGAAAGAATAAAAAATTAGAGAAGGCAGAATATAAACCAGGAGATTACATTAAACTTAGTATGTCAGTCATTCTGATAAGAGCCATTTTTTTCCAAAGCTGCTTTAACCAGTAATTATCACTTGATTTTCATTGAAACTGCAGAATGGACAGTTACTAGGCATGCAAAAGGAAAAGCAAATCTATGTGAATGAATGCACATGTAACTCAAAATGATATCAACAGTTCTACCTACATTTATGTTCTATCTTACATTTCAAGGGCCATAAAGCGGCTGTGATTTAAGGAGAAGAGTAGAATAGAGTCAGAAGAACTTGGATTCGAATTAGGAAATAGAGGCAATTTCAGGCATTGTTGAAAACTGGTATCCTTGGGGTGGGAGAAAGTAGACTATCAATAGAAGACAGAAAAGGATAAGTGAAAATTCTCTAGTTCTGAATTTAAATGGGAAGTAGCAGTATGAACCTATGACCTATTTTAAAAATATTAAAAACAAACATACATATTTCCTAGCTCTGACCACTGAAAAAGTCTAGAAACAACTGATGTCATTTCAAAAGGACTCAGGAGTCACTGAGAAGCTCCAACTGGCCAAAGATAGGGCCTCAGTTAGAATAATAACTGTAACGGAGTCCACGGTGATATGAATAAATAAATTTTACAGAACTGGTCACCACTGGAGGATATTTGTGAATCAACTCATTATATTGAAAACTGTTAAATAAAAGAAGAGAATCATGCCTCTACAACTGGGCAACCAAACAGTTGATGAGGGGACTCTTCTGATAGAAATATACCCAGCTATTAAGTGAAAAAAAGAACAACAGAATTAACCATTTTTTGAAGCCTCAACTGAATTAATGGACGTAGGTGTGAATCATCATTGATTACTAATATCACAGAAAGAGACAATTATATGTCTACATAGAAGAACACATCATCACCTATGAAACTGTCTTGCCAAAACAAAACATGCAAGCTTCATTCTGATCAACTACCAATTTACAGGAAATAAAAGGATTGAAGAATATGTTAACAACACATGGAATGTAATCATCAAACTCTAGATGGGACAAATTACCTGGTTTCTTTAAAAATAAAATTCAAGGAGGAAAAAAGAAGTGAGAGAGACATGGAGGGAGAACCTAGAGATTAAATAAGACTTCAGAGACCTAACAATCAACGGCAAAGTGTGGACCTTATTTGCATCTAATTCAAAATTCTTAAAAATAATTTTTTATGACATTTAGGAGACAACTGCAAATTTGAGCACTCACTGGGTATTTAATATTAAAAAATGATATTAAGGAATAAAAGTCCTATATTTTAAAAATACATACCAAAAATATATGGGTGGGGCTTCCCTGGTGGTGCAGTGGTTAAGAATCTGCCTGCCAATGCAGGGGACACGGGTTCGAGCCCTGGTATGGGAAGATCCCGCATGCCGCGGAGCAACTAGGCCCGTGAGCCACAGCTACTGAATCTGAGCGTCCGGAGCCTGTGCTCCACAACAGAGAGGCCGCGATAGTGAGAGGCCCGTGCACCGTGATGAAGAGCGGCCCCCGCTTGCCGCAACTAGAGGAAGCCCTCGCACAGAAATGAAGACCCAACACAGGCAAAACGTAATAATAATTAATTTTTAAAAAATGTATAGGTGTAATTACAGGTTGTCTCAGAGCTGCTTCAAGATAATATGGCTGGACGGAGGGGAAGATGGCGGAAGAGTAAGACGCGGAGATCACTTTCTTCCCCACAGATACACCAGAAATACATCTACATGTGGAGCAACTCCTACGGAACACCTACTGAATGCTGGCAGAAGACCTCAGACCTCCCAAAAGGCAAGAACCCCCCCCCGCCACGTACCTCGGTAGGGCAAAAGAAAAAAAGAAAAAACAGAGATAAAAGAATAGGGACGGCACCTGCACCAGTGGGAGGGAGCTGTGAAGGAGGAAAGATTTCCACACACTAGGAAGCCCCTTCGCGGGCGGAGACTGCGGGAGGTGGAGGGGGGTGCTTCGAAGCCACGGAGGAGAGTGCAGCAACAGGGGATGCGGAGGGCAAAGCGGGGAGATTCCTGCACAGAGGATCGGTGCCGACCAGCACTCACCAGCCCGAGAGGCTTGTCTGCTCACCCGCTGGGGCGGGCGGGGCTGCAAGCTGAGGCTCAGGCTTTGGTCGGAGCGCAGGGAGAGGACGGGGTTGGCGGCGTGAACACAGCCTGAAGGGGTTAGTGCACCAAGGCTAGCCGGGAGGGAGTCCGGGAAAAGGTCTGGAGCTCCCGAAGAGGCAAGAGACTTTTTCTTCCCTCTTTGTTTCCTGGTGCGCGAGGAGAGGGGTTTAAGAGCACTGCTTAAAGGAGCCCCAGAGACGGGCGCGAGATGCGGCTAAAAGCGTGGACCCCAGAGACGGGCACAAGCCGTGGCTAAAAGCGTGGACCCCAGAGACGGTTGCGAGCCGCAGCTAAAAGCGTGGACCCCAGAGATGGGCGCGAGCCGCGGCTAAAAGCGCGGACCCCAGAGACGGGCGGGAGACTCTAAGGCTGCTTCTGCCGCCACCAACGGGCCTGTGTGCGAGCACAGGTCAGTATCCACACCCCTCTTCCTGGGAGCCTGTGCAGCCCGCCCCTGCCAGGTTCCCGGGATCCAGGGACAACTCCCCCGGGAGAATGCAAGGTGGGCCCCAGGCTGGTGTAACGTCACGCCGGCCTCTGCCGCCACAGGCTCATCCCGCACTCCGCGCCCCTCCCTCTCCCCGGCCTGAGTGAGCCAGAGCCCCCAGATCAGCGGCTCCTTTAACCCCGTCCTGTCTGAGCAAAGAACAGACGCCCTCCAGCGACCTACACGCAGAGGCATGGCCAAATCCAAAGCTGAGCCCCTGGGAGCTGTGAGAACAAAGAAGACAAAGGGAAATCTCTCCCAACAGCCTCAGAAGCAGTGCATTAAAGCTCCACAATCAACTTGATGTACCCTGCATATGTGGAATACATGAATAGACAACGAATCATCCCAAATTGAGGAGGAGGACGTTGAGAGCAAGATTTATGATTTTTTCCCCTTTTCCTCTTTTTGTGAGTGTGTAGTTGTATGCTTCTGTGTGAGATTTTGTCTGTATAGCTTTGCTTCCACCATTTGTCCTAGGGTTCTATCTGTCCGTTTTTTAAAAAAATTTTTTCTTAATAATTATTTTTAATAACTTTATTTTACTTTACCTTCTTTCTTTCTTTCTTTCTTTCCTTTCTTTCTTTCTTTCTTTCTTTCTTTCTTTCTTTCTTTCTTTCTT